CGTATGTCTCAGCCTTCATCACAGCCTCTGTGCCAACCTTGTTCTAGTCATTGTTGAATAAACCACAGTGATGATATGGCTCTGCCCTGAAGGAGTTTGTAGTTAATTCAGATGATGAGACAAATAAAAGTGGAACCTAGAATGGGATTATTGCTGGGTAATAATAATCCCAACACAGGCTCCTGAAACACTGGAAGAAACTTAAGAGACTGGAAGAAACACCGGAAGAAACCTTGAGTAGAAAGGACAGATGTTGACCCCTGGTTACACAGCGATTCACATCTACCCCATTCACTTGCCTTTGCCGAGGTAACTGGACCACTGACAAAGGGATCAAAGACAGAGCAGCCTACTTTCCCCAGGGACTGAACAGTAAAATGATCCCATAATCTTAAATATCAAGGGACAGGTGGGAACTTAGACTCCCCTGGGACTGGGAGATTTATAAATCTCTCTTTACACCCTGGAGAAAATGATGCTAAATGACCAGTGGTGAACCAAAACAGCAAAGAAGAAAAAAGAAGCATTTAGGATTGTGCCTTCTACTTGAGAACGGCAGTGAGTACACAGCACTGCTGAGAGGCTGCTTGCAGTCCAAGCGCACAGTACGGCCCAGTGGTCTGAACGTGGATTTGGTCTCTGGAGTTGTCAGCATGTAACTCTGCATGCGTAGAAGCTTGTGTGCCCACAAACTTGCTTGCTTCCCTTCTTCGCTTTAATTTGGGATCACTTGCAGGAACTGGCGCTGGTGCAGTCATCAGTTTGTTAACTTCTCTACTTCTAGAGTGGTCTCTAGTCTCTTCTGTTGCCCTGTACCCTTGCTCTGAAATCAGAGTAGGGTTGTTCTGCACGCAAATACAGCAAGGCTGGGAGAGAAACCTACCAAACAAGTCCTTGGCCTGGAAGGAATTACACTTGTCAGCTTTGGCTGTCCTCTTTCCTCTGAGCCAAAGTTTATTTTAGAACTTTTCTAGAGTAATGGAACCTTTGAGAGATTTTGTCCTCCATGGTACTTTGCAATGGAACCTCAGGATAGCATGAAGTAAAGTGTGTTAGTCACTCAGTCTTGTCCAACTCTGAGACCCCATGAAATTCTCCAGGCAAGAATACTGGAGTGGGTTGCCCTTCCCTTCTCCAGAGGATCATCCTGACCCAGGGATTAAATCCAGGTCTCCCGCATTGCAAGCAGATTCTTCACTATCTGAGTCACCAGGAAAGTCCCATGAAGTAAAGAAAACCATATGTCTATTCACCTCCTCCTTGCACCCAGTATGATTTTGACCAACAGTTTAAATTGCTTTGTGTTAGGTTTTCTCAGTGATGGTTGGTAGTAGGGAGCAGCCATGACTACTTCTGTCTCCTAACCTTTCCTTCTCCCCTTGCTGGTCCCCAGGGCACCCTACTATGTGGGGAAGTAGCATAAGGGAAGGAGGAGACAGAAGGCCCTAGTGGCCCACAGACTGCACCATCTTTCTCAGAGAGCTTGGGAAAGGATGGGAGAAAGGAGCTTGCTTTTTTGCGCCAAGTTTTACCCTAATGGTAAAAGCTTTTTTCAGTAGCAAGATCTGGTGGTGGTTTGCAGTTCTTGAGCTTTTACTCAGGGCTGCATGTTGTGGTCAGTGCTTGAGATGTTCTCCAGGGCCTCTGTGAGGTGGGCCTTACTGTTGGCTCCATTTTCCCTGAAAGGAAACTGAGGCACGGTGAGTGTCCTTGGCGCACTCAGCCTCTCAGACCTCAGTTTCTGCTACAGATACAGTGGTTTTAGTAGCTCTTGTTCATCATTGATACCTGTGTGCTGGTGGTTAGCGTGGTTCCTGTTATTAACTTTGAAGGATTTCAAGAGCTTTTAATTTCTTCTAAGTGAAGTAGAAACTAGATCATCATCTAATTTTTCTCACTTCTATTTCTATCCACTGTTTAAGTCAAGTATGTAGCTACAGCAAATGCTTATTTGATTTAAAAATCCTTTTTGCGTTCTGAATGGAGGATGTCAGGGACCAATATTAGGAAAAACCCTATAAAAGTGATAATTAAAATAATTGCTATCTTGGCTTCATACCTTTACCCTGCAGGATGTGAAGAATGGAAGACTTACTTTCAGAAAATGGGAAAAGGCAAGGATTTATGGACATGAGAGAGCTTTGTACAGAAATGCAGCACTTTGTATTTTGCAGCCAGTGATGGCTGCAGTTGCCCGACGAGAAACTAATCCTCCTGAGGTTAAGAAATGTAGGCAGGGATGTGCAGACAGTGATCTCTTTCTGTAGATTACCCTTCTTAACTCTTAACAACATGCTTTTCTTTTCCCCCCTTCACAAGTGGGGAAACTGAGACTCAGACCAGCTGAGATCCAATGCCTTGTTCAAGGTCACAGAGCTCTTTAGCAGAGGAGCTGAGACTTCCCCATACAAGCCTGGGTTCATAATCCTTGGCCGTCTGCCTCTTCATCAAGTGGCCTGTGTTTGGGTGGCAATTTCATCATAAATTCAATATTGAAAACTGTTTCTCTTTTCAAGTGAATTTGAGCATATTGGGGTCTGGAGAGATGGAGTTGTTTACTTTTAACTGCCTGTTCGTTCAGCCTTAGAAAGAAGTCCCTTATATATTGCACAGGACAAATGATTATGCTGGAGGAATATCAAACACTGTTTTGATCTTACAAAATTTATTATCTGTGTACCTTTGGGGAACAAAAACAAATTGTGGGCTGGTAAAATTTAGTGCTTATTTACAAGCTTTATTTCCTTCGGTTCCCCAAATTTGCACACACAGAGAGGGCATCACGGTCAGATTTTAAGGACCACTGGCAGCAGGAAAGGTAAGCACCGTGAACCAGGGACCCCCCAGTAACTGCCACCCCGGTGAAGTCTGTTGGCATGAAAAACTGAATGGCCGATTGGGTTTAATGGACAGTATGAGGTTCTTGATGAAGAGTACCCTGTTCACTGTCTGATCTGAAAAACACGACTAAGCTAAAGCTCATTTAAATGTAAACATTACAGGAAATGTTGGAAAAAAATCCTAATTTTTTAGTAGGTGGCTATTACGAACATACGTTCTATATCATAATGTATCATTGTTTATTAAACATCTCTCCAACATGGCTACTTGTTCATTACTGCTTTTTAGTCTACCCTCTTACATGCTTTTTTTCCCATTTGAACATTTGGAGCCTCTGTACCCCCATTCTTTTTTTTTATTTTATTTTTTTTTCCATTTATTTTTATTAGTTGGAGGCTAATTACTTTACAATATTGTGGTGGTTTTTGCCATACATTGACATGAATCAGCCATGGATTTACATGTGTTCCCCATCCTGAACCCCCCTCCCACCTCCCTCTCCATCCCACCCCTCTGGGTCGTCCCAGTGCACCAGCCCCGAGCACTTGTCTCATGCATCCAGCCTGGACTGGCGATCTGTTTCACACTTGATAAAATACATGTTTTGATGCTGTTCTCTCAGATCATCCCACCCTCACCTTCTCCTACAGAGTCCAAAAGTCTGTTCTGTACATCTGTGTCTCTTTTTCTGTCTTGCATATAGGTTTATCATTACCATCTTTGTAAATTCCATATATATGTGTTAATATACTGTATTGGTGTCTATCTTTCTGGCTTACTTTGCTCTGTATAAGGGGCGCCAGTTTTATCCATCTCATTAGAACTGATTCAAATGTATTTTTTTAATGGCTGAGTAATATTCCATGGTGTGTATGTACCACAGCTTCTCATCCATTCGTCTGCTGATGGGCATCTAGGTTGCTTCCATGTCCTGGCTATTATAAACAGTGCTGCGATGAACATTGTGCACCCCCATTCTTTCGTAGGACATTGTTACTTTGGACAAAATCATCGTGTTGGTACTTTCTGATACGCTGTGTGCTGTGGTTGTCTCCACCGCCCTGGGACGGGTGTGGTTTACACACTTGAGACGAAGGTCAGATGGCTGGTTATTGCCAGAGCAGGTCCAGACCCGTTCTCCAGCTCTGTGCTCCTATGAGTGTCAAGTTGAGATCGTTGCATCACAGTCAACTGACCCAGCACTTCCAATTGCTTATCCTTCCTGGCCTTCAAGGAGTCCATTAATCCCTGTACTACACTGAAAGAAATTAATTTTTTGTTTTCTAGCCAAAAGTCATGAGACTTTTATTTCGTATCTGAAGCCAATAAGCAACTTAATTGTATTACTGAATATGAACCTTAGAACCAATACATTTCTCTTTTTGTGATAGGTGAGCATTTGTTGATATCTGTTATTTGCTGAGTTAACATGTATGAATACTCTTACAATGCCAGATCAAAATATTTCTATTTAGTTCAGCACTTAGCTCCCTCCCCTTTGTATGTTGCAAAGCAGCGTAGAAGATGCCCTCATACGAGGAGGCTGGGTGAGCCGTCGGCTTGAGTGAACTCATGGTAAGTGGGTGTTTGGACCAGCCTGTAGCAAACATATTGCACGTGCTTGTCTGTGTAGGCAGTGCTGCTGTCCTCCTAGGGTGGAGCCTACCCCCTGGGATAGAGACAGCCAAGGCAGTGGAGTGGGTACTTGCTCCCACTCTTGAGAGAGTCTTGAGTTTATTTTTTAATCAATCTACTTATTATTGAAGTATAGTTGATTTACAGTGTGGTGAGTTTTTCCTTTCTGAGTGAAGTATTTTTTACAACAATCTTTGTTATTTTTTTATTGGATACTGAGGTCTTGAGCTTAGCATATACAAAGTGTCTTTGATTCTTGGTTTAAACTAAGCGAGATTAGTCCTTATTACATTGAATTGCTTACCTTCAACAGCCAAAGTTTGGAGAATGCACCATTCTTTTGGGGATGGGTGAAATCTTGGATGCTATTCCATCATTCCTCTGTCCCCAGGCATAGCAGCACCCCGCCTGGAGAGCTCATTTCCTTCACATACCCAGCAGATTCCACACGCAGCTTTAGCAGACTGCCGTGGTCTTCTGCATGATCAGAACTGATTTTGTGGACCTTTGTTTCTCTCTTGCAGGTCTAACTTCAAGCTTGTGGCTGTTAATTTCAAACTCTATGCCATTGGCGGGCAGGCCGTTTCTAATGTTGAGTGTTACAATCCTGAGCAGGATGCCTGGAATTTTGTGGCACCCTTACCAAACCCTCTGGCCGAGTTCTCTGCGTGTGAGTGTCAGGGGAAAATTTATGTCATTGGAGGATACACTACCAGAGGTAAGTGAGGGCCTGGAAAGTGGTCCTCCTCCGTGCGAGCTTTGGCAGCCTGGGGGAGGGCGGGAGGGGTTGGAGGAAGCCCTCTAGTGCACCCCAGCCTGATGTTATGTATTGCTTACTGTATATTTACATAGCTGGAAAAAAGAGCATCCTGTGGGACATCAAAGAGGGGTCTTTGATGCCTTTGTATGAGCATGAAAATTGCATGGTGTGGGAGGAGCTGTGAAGAAAACATGTCTTTTCTTCCTTCTCTGGAAATCCCACCCTGTAGTCAGCCATCCTGTGACTTGGCTGGATAACTCCTACCTTTCTCTCAAACGTACACTGAACCCGCCTCATCTAACACTGAAATTTAGCGCCAGTGCATCCTTGCAGGTCTTTCTTTTCACTTTCTCCCTTGTGTTTGGGCACAAACATGTGGGATACAGATTCCAGAAATTCAGCTCCAAGCTGTTCACATATCATAGGAGGAACAGGAACATGAAGAGCATTCTTTCTTGACCATCAGTGGGAGGTGGTTGTGTTTATTAAACCATACATATGTGTTTTCTGGGCTTTCCTGGTGGCTCAGATGGTAAAGAATCTGCCTGCAATGGGGGAGACCTGGGTTCGATCCCTGGCTCAGGAAGATATCTTTTGGGGATGGGTGAAATCTTGGATGCTATTCCATCATTCCTCTGTCCCCAGGCATAGCAGCACCCCGCCTGGAGAGCTCATTTCCTTCACAAACCCAGCAGATTCCACACGCAGCTTTAGCAGACTGCCGTGGTCTTCTGCATGATCAGAACTGATTTTGTGGACCTTTGTTTCTCTCTTGCAGGTCTAACTTCAAGCTTGTGGCTGTTAATTTCAAACTCTATGCCATTGGCGGGCAGGCCGTTTCTAATGTTGAGTGTTACAATCCTGAGCAGGATGCCTGGAATTTTGTGGCACCCTTACCAAACCCTCTGGCCGAGTTCTCTGCGTGTGAGTGTCAGGGGAAAATTTATGTCATTGGAGGATACACTACCAGAGGTAAGTGAGGGCCTGGAAAGTGGTCCTCCTCCGTGCGAGCTTTGGCAGCCTGGGGGAGGGCGGGAGGGGTTGGAGGAAGCCCTCTAGTGCACCCCAGCCTGATGTTATGTATTGCTTACTGTATATTTACATAGCTGGAAAAAAGAGCATCCTGTGGGACATCAAAGAGGGGTCTTTGATGCCTTTGTATGAGCATGAAAATTGCATGGTGTGGGAGGAGCTGTGAAGAAAACATGTCTTTTCTTCCTTCTCTGGAAATCCCACCCTGTAGTCAGCCATCCTGTGACTTGGCTGGATAACTCCTACCTTTCTCTCAAACGTACACTGAACCCGCCTCATCTAACACTGAAATTTAGCGCCAGTGCATCCTTGCAGGTCTTTCTTTTCACTTTCTCCCTTGTGTTTGGGCACAAACATGTGGGATACAGATTCCAGAAATTCAGCTCCAAGCTGTTCACATATCATAGGAGGAACAGGAACATGAAGAGCATTCTTTCTTGACCATCAGTGGGAGGTGGTTGTGTTTATTAAACCATACATATGTGTTTTCTGGGCTTTCCTGGTGGCTCAGATGGTAAAGAATCTGCCTGCAATGGGGGAGACCTGGGTTCGATCCCTGGCTCAGGAAGATTCCCTGGAGAAGGGAATGGCAAGCCACTCCAGTATTCTTGCCTGAGGAATTCCATGGACTGAGGAGCCTGGTGGGCTACAGTCTATGGGGCTGCAAAGAGTTGGACATAACTGAGTGACTAATGGGCTTCCCAGGTGGTGCTAGTAGTAAAGAACCCACCTACAGTTGCACGGGACCTAAGAGACGTAGGTTTGATCCTTGGACCAGGAAGATCCCCTGGAGGAGGGCATGGCAATCCACTCCAGTATTCTCCTCGCCTGGAGAATCCCATGGACAGAGGAACCTGGCAGGCTACAGTCCGTACAATTGCGAAGAGTCAGACACAACTGAAGTGACAGCATTCAGTACGCACATGTATTTTCTACTTTGTTTGGTGGACATTTTATAGTTAATGATTTGAAAATAACAGGCTTCTCCAGCAGGTTTTATACTCCTGGGTCTTGGTAGGGAGCATCTCACAACTTGTAAAAAAAATTTTTTTTATTGGAGTATAGTTGCCCGATAGCTCAGTTGGTAAAGAATCCGCCTGCAATGCAGGAGACCCTGGTTCGATTCCTGGGTCGGGAAGATCTGTTGGAGAAGGGAAAGGCTACCCACTCCAGTATTCTTGGGCTTCCCTGGGGGCTCAGCTGGTAAAGAATCTGCCCACAATGTGGAAGACCTGGGTTCGATCCCTGGGTTGGGAAGATTCCCTGGAGAAGGGAACAACTACCCACTCCAGTGTTCTGGCCTGGAGAATTGCATGGACTGTATAGTCCATGGAGTTGGACACGACTGAGCGACTTTCATTAGTTGCCTTACAATGTTGTGTTACTTTCTCCTGTATGGCAAAGTGAACCAGGTATATGTTCACATATATTCCCTCTTTTTCAGATCTCCTTCCCATTTAGGTTACCACAGAGCACAGAGTTGAGTTTCCTGTGCTATCCAGTAGGTTCTCATTAGTTAACTTTTTATACATAGCATCAGTAGTGTATGTGTGTCAATCTTAATCCCCCAGTTCCTCCCACCCCTTCTTCCCCCCTTGGTGTCCACATGTTCCTTTTTTATGTCTATGTCTCTATCTCTGTTTTGCAGAGAGGTTCATCTGGACCAGTTTTTCTAGATCCCCTATATGTTAGTATATGATACTTTCCTCTTTCTGACTTACTTCACTCTGTATGACAGTCTCTGGGTCCATCCTCATCTCTGCAAATGGCACAATTTCATTGCTTCTTATGGCTGAGTAATATTCCATTGTGTATATGTACCTCATCTTCTTTATCCATTCATCTACTGATGGATATTTAGGTTGCATCCATGTCTTGGCTGTTGTAAATATTGCTGCAATAAACATTGGGGTGCATGTGTCTTTTGGAATGATGGTTTTCTCTGGGTATACACCTAGAAGTGGGATTACTTGGTCATATGGTAGTTCTATTTTTAATTTTTTAAGAAAGCTCCATACTTTTCTCCATAGTGGCTGTATCAATTTACATTCCCATCAACAGTGTAAGAGGGTTTCCTTTTCTCCACACCCTCACCGGTGTTTATTTTTCATAGATTTTTTTGGTGATGGTCATTTTGACCCATGTGAGGTGATATTATATTGTAGTTTTGATTGGCGTTTCTCTAACAGTGATGTTGAGTGTCTTTTCATGTGCCTCTTGGCCAGCTGTTTGTCTTCTTTGGATTCTCTTCTGTTTCTTACAAGGACACACTTCTTGGATTTAGAGCTGCCTGGGTTATCCAGAGGATGGTCTCTTCTTGAGATCCTTAACTAAAATTACATCTGCAGAGATTCTTTTCCCAAAAAAAAGTGACATTCAGAGGTTCTGGGGGTTGGAAGATGAACATATCTATCCAGGGGCCACCATTCAACCTTCTATAGGTGGTGTTTTTATTTATACATTTAAGGAGAAGCAGGGACATGGGAAGAGAAGTGCATGGGGAGCAGTGAGGTTTTTCTTTTTCACGCCAAGTTGTCATCACTTGTCCCCAGTAACTCTCCACTGATGATACCTGTCCACTTTTTCTTTACAAATAATTGAAAGAAAATGAAGTGACCTAGCAGTCACTTCTTTCACTTCAGCATTTCAGGTTACAGTGGTCAACTTTATAGACTTAACTAAACCATAGACCCCAGAGAATTCCTGTGTGTGCATATGTATCTCTGTGTGTATCTGTGTGTCTTCGCTCCTAGGAAAGTAAATACAGTTATTTACTTTTGCACATTTCTAAGAATCCTGGTTCCTCCCTAGACTTTGTGACACAGAATGTACCCTGTGGGCCAACCCCATGCACACACGGCCCTTGGTTTCTGTTCTACCCCAGAGTCGGGAAGCCCTGACAGGCAGCACTGTAACCCAAAGATGACTCTCCTGGTAGATTTCCTAGTTTTTCCATGACCCTGGCTGAGCAAATGTTCTTTAGATTTGACCTGGAAAACCCTTGATTGTGTGTTTTCTAGTTTCACAGGCCACTACTACTGTGCCTTCTTCATCTGGGCCACCCACTGTGATCCCTGACCCGGCCTCCCTGAGCCAAATCCCCATGACAGGCTGGTTAGGTGACGTGGATGGATGGCTGTTTGTGCAAGGGCTGAAAATGAGTTCTCTACGAGAAAGGGCAGGCAGCTCCTTGTCCTCTGAAGCCCCCTCCTCCTCTGCTTGGGTTCATCCCAGCACTTCCTAATAGTTCCTTGTCTTTAAAACAAGAGATCAGAACTGCCATGGAAAAAAAAAAAATCAGGAACTGAAGTTGGGTTTTTAACCTACTCACTTAAGTCAGGTGATACTTTTAAAATTTAGTAAGGGATAATTCATCATTTTTATGATAACTGTTCAATTATTTTAATTCTTTGGGCAGCACTGAAGAAATGAAATTCAATAGAAAGTAGCAGTAACTAGTAAAGGGAAGAGGGGTGATTTGTTAAATGTTAGAGTCAACTCTCAATGTAAATGCAAAAAGATCATTCCACTAACTCAAACCTCCTCATCATGGCCTGAGCCCTTGTTGGGTGAGGAGAGAAAACATTTACAGAAGACCTGGAAGGACCTTCGATCCTGGACCTGAGAAATAAATACACTGACGCTTGGCCAGAATAAGTCCTTTATTCGTAGGATGGGGAACCAGGTTACTCAGGAGTACTTGTTGGTAGATTAGTAACTAGACTCCCTAGTGCTGTCTCCTAGAATGTCCCCTTATCCCCTGTGCCCTCCTCACGGCACTTGACTTGCAGCAGAGAGCACGGTGGAGCTTTAATTACAGTCCTCTTGGGTGGGTCCTTCTGTCTCAGGAGGAAATCCTGCTCCCAGCTTCTGCGGGGATCAAAAGGCTGCGGCTTTCGTAGGACGTCAATTCCCAAGCTGACCTGTCTCTTTACAGTGATGTTGTTGTTTAAAAAATAACAAACAGAAAGTTCATTCTTTTGGATAATTCAGAGCATTTTTAATTTTTTTTTTTTTTTGCTGAGTCTAAAATATTCCATTTATTCTTCCCTTGAGGAAAGAAAGAATAAAAGAACAATTAAAAAAGAAAAAGGAAACTAGATATTTTCAATTTCACAAGCATTTTTCAAAGAGACTAGGCAACATTTTTCCTTGAAATAGGTATTAATTGAAAATGATGTTAGGGTGGTCTTTCATCTACCATCCGATTATATCCACACAATAATTAACCATCTCAGGACTTCCTGGTGGTTCAGTGATTAAGACTTCTCATTCCAGCATAGGGGGTGTGGGTACAATCCCACATGCCTCAGGGCCAAAAAAAATCACAAAACATAAAATAGAAATAATATTGTAAGGAGTTCAATAAAGACTTTAAAAAATAGCCCATGTTAAAAACAAATATATATATGTAACCATCTGTTGTGAAATGGGCAAGGGGAGGGGAAAGAGCCGTTGTCGGCGCATCTCTGGTGGTACAGTTGGGAAACAGGATTGCCAAGCGATTCTGGCTTAAAGGCCCGAGGTCAGATTTTTTTGTCTTGCATCTCTGACTTGCAGCTCTGCCTCCTTTCCGTTAGACGGCCCCAGAGATCCCGCTCGGCTCACTTGGCTTCTTTTACAGAGTCTGTTGTCAAGAATAGATCCTTTTGGGGCTCAGCCTGGCATCTGCCTTAGGCAGCCACTCGTTCTGTTCGGTTCTGCCGAGGGCTCTCTGAGGCTGGGATGCTTCCTGCACCGGCCTGGTGGTTCTCCAAGGTGCAGGGGTCCCGGCGAGGAGCGGGTGCTCTATCACAGCGGCTCATCTCCCCGGCCCGACCGGCTCTGAGAGCCAGCCCGGAAGGGACGTGCCTGAATGCCAGCCCAGTGGAGAGCATTCTACACGGGTCTCCTCCCAGCCATTTCCCAAACTATTTCCCCAACGTCCGCTCTCCGGAAGCAGCTTGGCCTCTGTGCCCGGCGGTCACTCCGGCGGAGGCGGGCGCGCACGTCCAGCGGGCGGCGGGTGGCGCTCCCCCTGGCGGCGTCCTCACGCGGCTCCTCTCTGCCTTTCAGACCGGAACCTGAACATCTTGCAGTACTGCCCCTCCGCCGACCTCTGGACTCTCTTCGAAACGTGCGACGTCCACATCCGCAAGCAGCAGATGGTGTCGGTGGAGGAGACCATCTACATCGTGGGGGGCTGTCTGCACGAGCTGGGGCCCACACGGAGGGGCAGCCAGAGCGAGGACATGCTCACCGTGCAGTCCTACAACACCGCCACCCGCCAGTGGCTCTACCTCAAGGAGAACACGTCCAAGTCGGGCCTCAACCTGACGTGCGCGCTGCACAACGATGGCATCTACATCATGAGCAGAGACGTCACCCTGTCCACCAGCCTGGAGCACCGAGTTTTCCTCAAGTACAATATCTTTTCAGATAGTTGGGAAGCCTTTAGGCGTTTCCCAGCTTTTGGACACAATTTGCTGGTCTCTTCTCTTTATCTGCCCAATAAAACAGAAACCTGACTGAATTGACCTAGAATTGAGAAAGAAACCTGGTTCAAGACCAAAAAACACAACTGTCCAATTTCCAGAGAAACTGATTTTTAAAGGGAAGATGTGAGTTTTAGGTCATTTATACAAAAGCTGTAAATAAGCTTACTTGAACTAATTACTTGAAAACTTGTGGGGAAAAAAGAGAGACCAACTTTATTATTTTTTTAATTATTGATTTTTAAATTATGGGAGCAGATCCATGATAATGTTTTTTGTACAAATGTGATACCCTTGGGCCAATGTCTGAAACTGATCTTCAAAAAGAAGATTCATTGTTCCTGTTTAGTAAGGGGCCAAAGTCAAAATTGGTAAGAATGCTAAAGATCATTTTTAAATCTGTTTTATTTAGGTCACTTGAAATATCATTGATACCTTAAGTGAAAGGTTTTTTTTTGTTGTTGTTATTAATTTACTTGACAAACATGAATATTAATGCTGTCTTTCTCCCCTGGTCACACCCACCTATGTTGCAGTGTGTTTAAACTAGGGTTCTGTGTTTATATATTTTATTTGCACATGACTTTCCAGGAAACTTACACCAGTGGAACCCAACACCCAGTCCTCCCCAAAACCTGTGTAACAACATTCTCAGCTATTTTTCAAGTCTTTTTTTTTTTTTTTTTCAGTTATGAATGNGTCCTCCCCAAAACCTGTGTAACAACATTCTCAGCTATTTTTCAAGTCTTTTTTTTTTTTTTTTTAACAGTTATGAATGCTGAGTAAATAGGCCGGTATAACCTCTTATTTCATTTATGTAGCAGATTGCAGATTTGTGTGGTCAGATAGGTTATATTGCTAGGCATTCTGTATTTCTTAAGAAAGAGGATATATTGTTTAAAAGAATGGATCTCTATATTTTTTAAATCAAGTCTTAAATGGGAAGGGAAGCACCAAATAAGAGAAAAAAAAATGCCTTTGAAAGTTACTTTTATCGAATGTATTTGACCTAGTTCTTTAAGTTTGAAAGTATGACTTTATACTTAGATCAGACACCTTTCAGATTTAATCTTGGCTTTTTAATTCATGCTTTGCTTTTGTGGGGTAAGGTGAGGACAGCTTTGAAACATTTGTGCTAGAGAGAGGGAAAGAAGCCCCTAGCGATGGAGTAGCATCTGCTGGGACTTCTGAAATTTGGTAAGGTGCTCTATTTGCCTTGGTTGGTAAATCAAGTGGAACCCAGCTCAAGCAGTTGTTTGTTTACAGTAAGTAGTTAACAATGAAAAAAATCTTCTGCCAGTCATAGATCAGCGTTTCTTTAAAAATATACAGGCAACTCTTGGATATACTGCACTTCAGTGCCAGACCACCGCAGTAAAACAAGTTGAAAGGATTTTCAGGTTTCCCAGTGCATGTAATGGTTATGTTTACACTGTACTATATAGTCCATTAAGTGTGCAATAGTATTATGTCTTAAAAAAATGTCCATACCTTAATTTTTAAAATACTATTATTATTAAATACTGCTAACCATTATACCTGACAAAGTGGGGTTGCCACAAACCTTCAATTTGTAAACAGCATATTATCTGCAAAGTATAGTAAAGTGAAGCACCATGAAATGAGTTATGCCTGTATATACACATGTAAACCAATTTAATTTCCATTGAAAAACGTTTTCTGAAGTCCTCTGATTTTATGCAGTGGAATAACTTTAAACTGTGAGCAGGATCCTGTCGTTCTGTCCTAACATTCCAGTTTCAGCGTGCCTCACTTTAAGAAGGTCCTGTAGAAAAACAAAAACTGTTAGGGCAAATCCATGCATTCAGAATGCTTCCCGATGCCTCCAGTATGCATTCACTGGGCAGGTGGGCACAGAGGAGTCGATGACCTTAACAGGCTTCAGTTTATGCAAGGAGTCACTACAGGGTTTCTTCACAACTATGACCTCCTAGTATATTTAAAAATAAGGGTCTGGTTGTAAAAAATTCTAGTTGCACAATTTTTCAGGAATACTTCTATTAGGTAAAATGAGGTAAGTCTTTATTGTGGACATGGAGATAGATCTTTGTGTCTTGTTACCAAATAATCTTATCAGTACTCTCCTTACAACAATATGGAAGGGTTTCTAAGCCATATCCATCTGTTCTCAAATACTTAGCCTTCTTTTTCTTTTTTTAAAAAGAGCAAACTCTGAACTGAAATTTTATTGGGAATAGTATTTTAGTAATAGATTTATATTAATTTATATTCATCATAGAATTGAATTTCCAGTGACCAGTAATTTCATTAAATATATTTAAAAATCTAATTTATTTTAGATAGTGTTAATTTGTGTTACTATAGATCTTAGTGTCTTTAAGGCTTAACCTTATATATTCCTAAGATTATAGCCAGTTGAATTAATGTTGGACAAACAGTTGGAGATTAGCTCGTAAATACCCACATTATAAGAAATACAAAATTATTCCTGCCAACCAGTTCTCTTCTTGATTACATTATTTGGATCTATTTTCCTCGTGCCAACAATTAGATTCTTTGACCAAGTGAAGGCATACTCTGATCCACAAAGCTCTTTTTATAAACCGAGTTTGATGTGTGTTTATGTGCTTCTGTGTGTGTGTGTAACAAGTGTACATGCACACACATAGGCATCTGGCATATTAAGCTCTAAGATATGCAGACTCTAACAAGATTTCCTTGGGGCTGCCAGCAGTACTTAGGCAAAACAGAAAGTGTGGTAGGAGAGATCTGTGGATTTGGGACTTCCTTCCTGCTGTACATGTTAGCTGTGTTGATGTTTTGAGGGTAATTTTAATTTAGCCTCATGCTCTCACCAGTGCCAATGTTGTACTGAAGACTCTACCTATGATGAAGGCAATGTTGCTTGAAAGTCTCCCTTTATTTCCTCTCTTTCTCCAACTGCTTTCTCATTTTCAGAGATGCTTCTGAGGGGTGCTGCCCTCTCACTGTGGAAAGGGGAGTTACTGGGAAGACCTGAGTGCTGGCCACCTTGCCAGAAGCACCCTATTTCACTGAGCATGGTCTGAGTGTGAATTGTTAGAGGGAGGTTATTGGTTCTCCCTGTCATTCCTTCTGGCTTTCTTTTCTGCATCCTTAGTTTCTGAGGCCCCTCCCTTTAAACATTTGTCTGATGAATGTGTAGGAGTTGATTATTTCAACTGTATTTGTTAAATCTTAACAGTGAAGTACTGAGAAGGTTACGGATAATAGTAAGAAACAAGTAGATTAAGATTAAGCATGAATACCAAAGAGAATTTAACTCTGCCATTTTTTTTAAAAAACCAAAATCCTAAGTAATTCCAAATGCCTTAGATATCAATTAAAATTGTTCTGAGATGGACAAAACTCTCTACCGGGAGAGTAATCAAGTAAATGCCTGTTCTCTTTCAATAAACGCTCATTACTTACTGAGCGTTGTGAATGCAGTGGTTTCAGATTTCTAGGTCAAGTCATGACCCTATGTGTTTGGCTGCACAGGTAAATCCAGTGCGAAGGCTTTGCTGTTCTGGTCGACCAGTACTTAATAAGCAGTGGCTTAATGCAGAGCACTTGAGAGACAACATAGCAACAGAAAGGGAATATGGGTAAGTCCTTCGTTGGATGCCTTTCTCCTAGATTAGGGCTGGGGAAGGTGAAACACCGTGCCACCATTCTTTCAAGGTAGTGTTACGAGTAAGCAGCACTTTTTGCCTCTGTGGCAGAAATTGATTTTAACAATCCATGTCATTAATGCTTCTAGGCATCTATTACCAGCCCATCAGAGTGAGATGAGGTCTCTTTGTCTTCCCTGCCTTGGGCAGAGGAGTGAATGAGTTACATGAGTAGACACCACCCAGAATGACTGTGAAAGCAGTGAGCTGATTCAGCTGTTTTTTGGTTTCCCAAAATACGTATTAAATCTCTAACATGTGCAAGAAAGTGCTAAGAAGTGGGGAGACAGACATAAGTAAGCCACCATCCCTAGCCTTGAAGACCTTGCAGCCTTGTGAAAATGTTTGCCGTGACCGTCTTAGACTGTCTGGAAGATGCCTGCTTTCGTCAGGTGCCCTGGGGCGTGTTGCGTTCCTGCGTTTTCAGTCCTGGCCCCAGTCTGTCCCCTACCTTATGGTTGACTAATGATTATCATACTAGCTGATTCATACCGGCTATACACTCAATTTAAACATCACATCCTGTGGTTTTTACTTTTCTTTTTCACCGTATGCTCTTTTCTCACTACTTTCCATAGTCTTCTCTGTACTTCATTTTCCTGAGAAGGATGATACGAGATTGGCTTTATTTAAAAATACTTAGTAGGCACCATGGCTTATGGAGCTGAGAGCTCAGCAGCTTGGTCCCATGAGAATGATGAGCAAAGCCAGGGAGGCAGGTATTGGGAGAGAAGCCAGCTGTTCACGTGTGTATTTATACCTATGCCTTTAACACACTTCCATAAAAAATATTAATAAAGAGATGGACATCTAGATACTAGTCCTGACTGAGAGTCAGTTGATTTCTGCCTTTGTGATAACTATTAAAGGGTATATTTCCTTCACATAAGGGTATTTTTTTTCCATTTTCTGGTGTTAACTTAGGAACACAATATAAAATACACACCAATCGACACAGACTGATTTGAGCACTTAACATAACCATTTTTACCCATTCATTCCTGTAGGAGACAGATTAAATGTAAAAGATGGTCAATTTTGAGTTGCAAAAGGGTGCTGAAATGACTTTGATGGGGTTGGCTGGTGCTTTGTCAAGTGGATGTCAGAGTTTATTACTAGTAAAGAAAGAGAAAATGTACTTTGCATTATTATGCCGTTTTTCTAAAAAAAACTTAATAGGGACTCTTTAGATGTCTCTAAAATGTTTTCATATCTAGTGGTCATTTTAGAAAAAAATGATAATCTATAGAATGAATAGTTATGTTTTGTTACGATTGATACTTTCTTGGTTAAAATGGTTGTATTGTGTCTTCAATTTCCAGTGTGGCTTAAAATGTAAACATTCACATGAGTCATTTAAATACAATGATGCCTATGAAGCACTCACTAAAACAGCATTCCTTTTGTGTTTAGAACTACAGAAGAAAATCTCTTCAAATAAAATAGTTCTAAATCGGTGTTTCTTGTCCGTTAAGTACCAGCCGTGTACTCAGGGCTGATCAGGGCTGGGGGGAGACAGGTGTCTGTCGGTGGAAGGTCCTGATTGGCTGGAAGGGCAGATTAAACTGTGAGCCAGTTAGTGGAGGAAGAACCACGTGGAGCGTCTTATGAAAACTGTTAATGTTTGAAAAAGATGGATCTGGGAGGAGGAGCTTTGAATCCTTACAGTTCTGAATAGAAGAATGAAGTCAAAATCCCATAGCTTACCAATTATGGCCCCCCAAGATCTGTTCCTCCCTGTGTTTTCTACCATTTCCCACTGTTTTAAACACCTCTTCCTCTAGGAAAACTAAAACGCATAGTTCCAATTCTATTGTGTTAGCTATGACACTCACTGTCTGTGAGGCTGAGAAAGGGCTGGGGGTAAGTGTCCAAAAATAGACTTCAGTTACTAGATGATATCCATCCACGGATGTCCATCTTCCTCTTCTTATTCTTTTGGCTGCACTGCAAGGCAGGTGAGGTGTTAGTTCTCTGACAAGGGATTGACTGTGGGAGCCCTGCAGTGGAATCATGGA